CCCCAAAACCCCAAAACCCCAAAACCCCAGCTTTATCAAATTATATAATATTAATTAAAATGAAGAGTCGGATTGAGAAATATGAAAAACTTGATAAGATAGGTGAAGGTACCTATGGAGTAAGTATATCCCTCATATTTCTCTTGAGAAAGTAGCCACTAACCACAGCTATAGATCGTGTTCAAAGCAAAGGATACATCTACTGGAGAGGTGTACGCACTCAAGAAAATTAGATTAGAGTCTGAAGATGAGGGAATCCCTTCGACTGCGATCCGTGAAATTGCTTTACTTAAAGAACTTCAGCATCCAAACATTGTCAAACTTCATGATGTAATCCATACCGACAAAAAGTTGACCCTTGTGTTTGAGTTCTTAGATCAGGATCTCAAAAAGCTTCTGGATTTAGCAGGAACCGAAGGACTTGACTTGCCTACTATTAAGTCGTTTTTAAACCAACTTTTGAAAGGAATTGCACATTGTCATAAAAACAGAGTTTTACATAGAGATTTGAAGCCTCAAAACTTATTGATAAACAGAGAAGGAGTACTCAAGTTGGCAGATTTTGGATTGGCTAGAGCCTTCGGAATCCCTGTCAAGAATTACACTCACGAGGTTGTCACTCTTTGGTACAGAGCTCCAGATATTCTAATGGGATCGAAGAAATATAGCACATCTGTTGATATATGGAGTGTAGGCTGTATTTTTGCAGAATTGGTTAATAGAAGGCCATTATTCTCAGGAGCATCAGAGAAAGACCAACTTGACAAAATCTTCAAGATTAGAGGTACACCTGATCAAGACGACTGGCCTGATATGACTGAACTGCCGTTGTATGAGGAAGGATTACCAGCTTATGAGCCTCAGAGTCTAGCAGATTTAGTCCCAGAATTAGATGAATCTGGACTAGACCTTCTCGATCAGATGTTGCAATGAAACCCAGACAAAAGAATATCAGCTGCAGAAGCTCTTAAGCATGAATTCCTTGAAGATGTCATCGATGTTTATCAAGAAGGTTAAGAAGATACTAGTCAAACAGTAAATAAGTAGAACTATTCAAAGAATCTTGACTTATTCTATATATAATGAATAATTTGGGGTTTTGGGGTTTTGGGGTTTTGGGGTTTTGGGGTTTTGGGG